TTGCCAATTTTTGCTGAATAAAAGATACTGGACTTGTTGCTCATCATAGTATGATTCACCAATTTAGATCATAGCTCTGCATCCTCAGAACATACACATTTTTGAAACTTCTCTTATATTACATTGCATTTTATAGAGGTCAAAGTCTAAAGTTCACAAACTGACAAAGAACGAAGGGGATTTTTTGATCATTTTCCTACTGAAGACCACGTCAAAGAGAGTAAAGTCTGTGAGCCAGTATCTTCCTATTCAACATTAAGTATCTAAATGTTAGCCACTAAGCTAGTCATCACAGATTTCCTTTAGAGTTATTAGGGAGATGTAAGCATCTCTGGAAGACAATTCAGTTGGCTTATCTTAGGATAAAATTAATTGTTCTCTTGAATTGAACAATTCTCTCCAATACTAAAAAGTCAGCCTAGAGCTTAGTCTAGTCTTCTCACTCTAGAAAGTCCTAGCCCAAGCAAATTCCAGTAAATTCCACTCCACATATTTTAACCAGAACTTAGTACTTAAATTATGCCTTATTCCACAAGCAGTTCTACCAAATCAAACTAAAAGCTTAAAGACAAGGTACTGCTTAATTACTGCAGAATAGTCCCAAGCTGCACTGGGGAGGTTTAGACTGGCCATTAAGGAAGGATTTCTTTACGGAGGATGGCCAAGCACTGGAATAGTTAGAGAGGTGGTCAATGCAACAAGTGTATCAGTGTTTAAAAGGCATTTGGACAATGCCCTTAATAACATGCTTTAACTTGGTCAGCCCTGAATTGTTCAGGAAGTTTGACTAGATGATCCTTGCAGGCTGCTTCCAACCAAATTATTCTATTCTATTCTATTCTATTCTATTCTATTCTATTCTATTCTATTCTATTCTATTCTACTCTACTCTACTCTACTCTATATGAAAAATATCAATGCATATTTCTCTACATCTTCATAAAATATCTGGCCAGGAACACTTCTCCACTCCCAGGCACAAGTGCACACTTTGCAGCTCCAGGATCTCAAGATGAGTCCCAGGATGCCCTACTTCCCCAGGGTGGACACCTGGGGAACCAGGACTCCAGAAGGCATTGCAGCATGCACTTTCATATAGGTTACATGCAGCTTCTGGTGCTCTTAATTAAAGTCAGTCTCTATTATAAGGATAACAGGCAATGTACTGTTCTTAAAAAATATAAGTAGAGCCTAGCATCTGAATCTGCCCTTGAAAACCCCCTATCCACACCCCTAATCGCCTGGTGTGGAATACATCCCATAACTGGGAGAAATATTAAATGGTTTGTCCTCAGCTCTTATCTGACTGCAAAATGTTATTTTCCAGTCTTTGTAAAAGGCTCCTTTGTTTAATACAAACTCATAGCATTTTTTAAATGATGTTGTCAATTTTATCCATAATACTGCTGTATTTTATAGTTTTCAACTGATGGGAAAATTCCTGTTTTATACTTTTTCTTTATTTTTCAAAAAAGGAAAAGGAATCACAACCAAGACAGCTTTTTGAATAAACATAATTATATAAGAAAAAGGCTGTAAGAAGAAAGTATATTTCAAAGGTGAGAAAAAATTTGATTTTCCCATTTTTTTAAACACTTTTGTCATCATTTAAAGAGGGCAATGTGACAATATTTTTATGTTTATTTATCACAACATCGAGTCTAGACATACAGAAAGAAATTCAATTTCTTTCCCTCATGACAGTTTCGCAGTCTGGAGGAGAATGCCACAATGTGCCTGGTAAATCTCAGCCATGCACATAATCATTTCATAATTATCCTAATGTCATTCTGAACACCCTCTTTTGTTGTGATATAATGTTCAGGAATGCACACACGCATTTCTTTGTATGAAGTAAAAAATTACTGCTTTAGATAAATTGCCATTGCCTTTTCTCCCCTTCCCCTCCTGCAGGCTACGTAGACACAAAATAGCCAATCTTAAACCAGCACAAATTAACTCAGTACTCGGCTTATTCACATACACTTTTCCACCTGTATTCATTCCTTTTCCATGGCTAAATCCTTATGTCAGCCCTCTCCCACTAATATGCAGACAAATTAGGAAAAACAGTTTAATCTTTCCATAACACCTATTTTTGCATTCTGAAAGTAAATAATTTCCATCTGACTTTTCTTAACATTTGAATTCTGAGTACCATAACATTCATGCTATTTCTAATTCATTATCATGTATTACATTATTAGATCCCCATATCTGAACAAAATGCAAAACCACAAGTAGACCACACTTTTAAAAATCAATTTCGTTTTCTCCCATTATTCACTTGGTCTTTTTGCTTAGTGACTGATATCATTAAGTATCAAGAGGTTGGTATAATCACTTTTTACAACAATGTGATTAAATATACTAACACAGATGGACTAGAAAATACCTTCTTCCTCCACTGGTTTTATCTCTAACCTAATGTTTAAATATTAACAGCTTGAGATGTGGAAACATAAGTGCTGCTTTTGAACTTGGTATCCTGTAGAAGAGAAGGTAATACTTCAGTGGTTAATTGGGTTTCTCTGCATATGAAGGAGGCAAACTTATAGAAAACGTTTGGAGGTGAATACAGACTTTCTTAGGACTTTCAGGAAAGCCTTTTCTGCAGTACACTTAAATCACCCAAGCTGTTCAGTTCACTTTGTTTCTTTTACATTATACATGGGATAATTACACATGGGCTGTTTCATTCGACAATCAGAAACTTATGATTCGTGATTTCTTAATACTGACTCTCTGTACAGTGCTTTACATTTTTCTCAAAAAGGGAGATTTTGGAACCACAGAGCACTTTAGACTTTTGCCTTTTCTTTATAGACTATAGCAGAAAGAGGAGATACAAAAATATCATAGTCACTAAATATTAGGGAAAAGTACTTGCTTTTTGATAATAAGCTACTCTCTTAATACAAAGAATCACTCACATTTCCAATAGCAATGTATATTTTTGAGGGCATCAGAATGATTTCTGTTAAAATCTCAGTCCCTTGCATCAGGAAATACAGAGGCCTTCATTCCCCTGCCACTTGGTTTCAATGACTTAGACCAACTTTTAGTCAGAAATCTGAATCCAAGTTTTCTGTTGTCTCAAAACAGCTTTGCAGCTGTGTGGGAAATGAAGGAAATAGAGGCAACATATCCTATCTGAACAAACTAGAAGGCAGAACAAATAGCAGGAGTTTTAAGGGGATTAGTATTTTCCTTTTAGTGGTGGTAGGTCTGCAAGCAGGTTACGGTAGCTGTTGTACTGAACCAGTGTGTATGACAGCAAATAAATAAGCATTGGCTTTTTCATAGCTTCACTTCTGAAGAGGTAGAAAATGAGTCCTGAGGATTGCCACCATCAATGGAGAACAAGAAAAGGCCAACTTCTGCAAAAACCCAGATATACAGGACTGGAACAGAAGCATACGGCCTTCAGGACAAGAACCTTGGGCTTCTGCACCTAACGGTGGATTGAACTTCATAACCTTGACAAATGTAGAAAAACCTATTTTTGACAAAATGTTCTTCCTCAAGGCAATTGTAATTGGTATCTCCCCCTTTTGTGACCTCTTTTTTCCTACAAAAGTGTAATCCCGACCCACATTTTTACTTACTGCTTGTTAAACACTCACATTAAATATAAAATGGCATGCGTTCCTTAACACTAATAGTGCCATGCAGTAGTAGTGGCAGCAGGACAAATTTCAAAACACACATATATAATTCTTTTCCTATTCCTATTCCTAAATTCTATCTAGTTTGTTTTGGCTATATACGCACATACATTTTACATGCATAAAATCAGACTTTCACTGACATGTACAAAGTTAAGTGGGGGCAGCATTCCAGCAACTTTGGCTTCAGAAGAAACACATTTGAAAGAGGATTCAGGAGCAATGTTATATCAAATATTTAGGAAGCATCCCTCCTTCAAAGAATGTCAAAATGTTTTTCAGACATATATACAGAAACTGAGACATGTTGAGCTCTCTGTGGAACAGAAGGAATATAACTGAGTCAGTGCACACTACATGTCACTACAACCAAGATGTACCAGAAATTTAGTGCAAGGAAGATTTCAAATTACATGGACATGCAAAGACCTGCATAAATACCACACTAGCAAATTATGGGCTGACACTACAAACAATTACCAAATACGTACAAGCAAAACCAGTCATCAATATGTGTCGGGGTGTCGAGGTGAAGGTGTTTATGCATACACACATACATGTGAGTCTTCAGAGTGCATTTTAATCTGTTTTATGTTGATAAAGAACTGTATTAACCCTACAGAGATACAACACTGTAGTTATAGGAAGTTTGAGTGCTTCATGCTTATCTGAAGATTTTGTTATTCTTCTGTTTCTGTTAGCCACTAAAAAGCTGAAAAGTTAGCAGGTTTACTTGGTTTTCAGACACTGTATATGACAAATTTTAGATATATTTCTGTTAATGTAATTTTGAACCAATAATATAAAAAGTGGCAAACAGAGAATAGGAACTCACTGAAACTGTCAAAATTTTGTAGTAAATCCCAGTCATACAAGACAGAACAAACCAGAAGGTCATACTGTAATGACACATTGAATGCTTACCGTACTCAGCAGTGTCTATGTAGAAACATTTTAATTCCATGTTATTGATAAAAATGCCCTTGTTTGCCATCCTGTGAATGAAGAGCTTAGCAGGGTATATAGACTTTGTGCAACTGATTTCAGAGAGAAATACATATCAGACTGTAATACATTTGATCATTACTGGTAGATGAAAAAGGGATCAACTCTACTATCTCACTGCTTACCTGAGAAGGTCTGGCACACTGCTTACCATGTACAAGCAATTGCAAAGTATGCTGAGAAAAGTGTGCGGAACCAGGAAGCCAAATGACTCTTCCCACACTTCTTCAGTCTTGTCAACTGATGTCTTCTATGTGCACCCAATTTCCTGTGCACTTTTTTTTTTTTTAACCTGTTGGTAACATGTAAGGTTGGTATCATACCTACCCTAGTTGTTTTCACTTTATTCCCAGAAGAACAGCTCCATCCCTTACGATCTGGAAGAACTTTACATTCCTCCCCTTCAAGACATGGCTGCATGTGGCACCACCATTTCTGCTCCACTATTGATGCTACAAGAGAAAACAAACATATTTGCATGCAGTTGAAATGGACACTTTATTATGGTATTATGTTACAACATTTCTTTTATTTCCCAGGAAAATATTAGAAATCAATGACTGACAGCTAGTCTGTAATTTTCAGACAGTAAGTAGAACCTTCATAAGAAAGTAGGTCTCAAATTGCACAAGGTGCTATGCTTCAAAGTCAATCTCTTTACTGTGGGGTTGGGGTTTTTTCTAATTTACTGAAGTTCATGAACTAATTTCACAGTCTTTCCTTCCAACCCTCATTTTTTCTTGCTTAGCCAGATTTCAAAGTTTTAAGTAGAATCTCTTCTTTTGAGTTAGTACTTTTTGCCTGATCTACTATATAGTCTAGCATAGCCTGATTAAATTTATTCCCCAATGTTGACATATTTACAGCTTCTCTGACAGCCAACAACATATCAACAGTAAAGAGATCATGTAAAGAGTGAATCCATCCTACTCCACTTTCAGAGAAAGAGACATGAAAAACCAGCTAATATTTTCCCAAATAAAACATGAGCCTGTGCCAGATTTGTTAAGTAAAACATTAATATTGCACCATGAATAGGAAAAACAGTTTTGGTCTAAAAAGACTAAAAAAAGAGCCAGAACTGTGTTCTGTTTGCTTGTTTGTACCTGTATGATAAATATAAATATACAAAGAAAATGTAAGACTGCAGCACATGAAAATGATATGCTTATGTAGATTTTGCATAAACATTTTTAATTAGGTGAATTTCATGCAACTCTTAAAGCACTCTGCTAGTTGGATCAAATTTAGCTTCTCAAGAGGTCTCATTCACAGGCATCTAATAATTTTGCTTAGCATTTCCACAGTGTAATAGCAAAAAATTTATTTTTCCCATCTTCCTTCCATTCACCTTGGGCATGCCCTTCAAAATGCAGAAGCCTTCCTACTCTTATTTTAAATAGTTAACTGTAATGAAGTGGTCCTCACTGATGACATTAAGCCACCCAAAACCCCCAGGAACATGCAACGAAAGAAAGCAATAGAGTAGTCGCACCATCAACACATGAAGGAGCTGCCCGAGTGGTACCTGCTACCTGCCCAGGGAAGCAGGAGCACTTCACTGTCTGTGATCTTTCTTCTATCTTGTTCTTATTGCAACATCTGTGGAGTGCCACCACTTCACAGGTCCCAGTTTTAACATGGTGAGCTGTGAAAATAAGAAGATGAGCAATTTGATAACATTGCAAGGTAGCATCATACAGTTTGGGTTTGTTTTTTTTAATTAGAAATGCATTAGACTTGACTCTGTAAGGCAGTCTGCCATGCATGAAACTAGAATTACAATGGTACTTACACTAGAATGTAAAGTTGATTTCTTTTCTAAATGTAGTGTAACTATCTCAGGCAGAAAACACTGGCTAAAGAAGAACAATTGGAGAAGGCTGCATATGGAACTGTTCCAGTGAAGCAGGGAGCAGAAACATTATAAAACTAATCTACAAACTATATTAATTTCTGTACTCCCTTAAACAGCTGTGTATCTCTACCAAGATTTTTTTTTCTTTTCCCTAAGGGAGAAACTTTGAAATGAAAGTGCATCAATGTTAAAATATCCATAGATGCATATGTTTTCAGAATGTACGTCTCCAGACCTTATGTCCATGGCAGATACAGTTTTTTATATGATACCTCAAAACCTTCCTACAGATGGACAGAGAAGAATTGGCAGGATACAAGGACAGCCCTCAAACAAAACCCAGAAATAAAATCTACAAAGGAATCACATTTTAAATCTCTCTGTCTGGCACTGCAAAATAAGTCTGGTAACATGACGATCCAAATTTTTCAAAGACAGAGGGCAACAGGACAAAATTCGTTACCCATCACCCCTACCCATGCTGCTCTAACTGATCACCAGAATCATGATACTGGAGTTCTATGAAAGGACCAATTTGGTAAGAGGTTAGCTACCAAACTACACTTTCTGGTCCAGCAGCCACTTACCAAAGGATATGGAGTTCAGGAAAAGTAATTTTAACTGAACTTTCAGTGGTTACTGATATAAGACCAGGTATTTCTGGGGATAGTTCATTTCCATCAGAAGGAAGAGAAACAAAAATCTGAACTTTTTGCTGGTATTGACCTACAATCTCATACAGGAAGGAATATTAATTATGCAGGGCAATATGTGTTTTAACAGTACCCCAAAGTCCTGTATTTCTGCTGCTGTTTAGCTACCTTTTATATCCCTAATGGCAAAAAATAAACAAGAGCTTCCAGGAGAAAGCCCTACTAACAGGCTTTCAGGAGCCCAACATTGATCTCTGGATCCACTCAGTTGTTATTGCTCAATATCAGCTCCTAAAAGGCCTGAGGAAAGAAAACAAATTTGATGTAGGCTATGGACCCCAAGAACTTGCCTAAAGCCAGAAGCCACAGGCAGCAATTAAATTGAGTCTTCATCAACAAAACATGAACTACTAAACATTTCATGTGGGCAATATGTGTTTTCCAGTAGAACAAAGTTCACTGAACAGTCTGTGATCTTTGTTGTCACTTACTGTATTGTACATACTACATCAGGTGAGATTATAATCTGTCACGTCATATGCTGCACTACAGCTGGAACGTTATAACACAACGTGAAAACTTAATCCATGATCCATCACATTTTTTTATGCTAAAATGTTACATATCAATCAGAAAACTAGAGAAAAAAGTATTTTTTGCATAAAAAAGCTTTTATTTGTTTTTTAACTGTTTACTACTTTTAATTCAATAGAGGATGAGGAAAGCAACTCATACTACCTGTGTGAAAGTTACATTCTCAGTTATTTTCATACCTTAGATGATGAGCAAATATTTTTGCAGCTACCAGCAGAATCTGCTCTGAAAATTACTTTTAATTATTTTCCAAACAATTTCACTTGTATATATGCCAATAAAACAATTTAAATAAATATATTCATTTATCTTAGTAAAATGGTTATAAGGTTTTTTGAGTTATGAATATGGTTAAAAATTCTTCTACAATATATTCTGAATGTACAACACATAGTAGAACAAATACATGCTACTTTTGTAAGTTCACATTAATTTTTATTTTCATAGGCAATTACACATCTTATACCCACACATGCTAACACAAATTCCCTAACTTATATTTTATGAAAGATACACAAGAAGCCCAGACATTGAATCCACAAACAGAAGTAAATGTAGTGGTAGGCTATGAACTTTGTCCCACTTAGTTTTCACTATATTAGTTTCAGCCCTTATTTGTGTTCTGATGTGTATCACTGATCTTGAAATTTTGTCTCCTCACTCGTTTGCTAAATAGCTTTACACAGCTCTACCAGAAATGTCATAATATACCTGCTAAGAGAAAATAAAGTACCATATGCACCAATAGCCATCTGGAATGGAAGCCAGTTAAAAGTGCTGTTGTAAAATTCTGTGAGGGAAATGTTCATCCTGAAACAAAACTTTTGAAAGACTTGTTTTGTAGTACTTAGGGTAAGAACATCATGCATTTCAAGACTTTTATGGAAAAAGAGTGCAGTTAAATGAAATGGTAACATTCATGTACAATACAGAAAAGTATTTCAAAGGGTGAAAAGTTATGTGAAAAATGGGGAGAACAAAAAATAAGCACATACTATTGATAGTATTTGGGGAATCTAACAACCTGCTTTGAAATTTTATAGATATAAACCAAAAACAACCTAGAAAAGTTTACAAAGCTATTTCAAACATTGAAAATGCCACTACACAGTAGATAGAGGATTTCCCTCAACCTAATATAAATTAATCTCATTAAGCCACTGAACCATTCTGCAAAAGGAGGATAGTACTTTAGGAGATTCACATTTTGGTTTTGTTTCTTCTTGTTCTAGCACAGACTTCAAAGTACACTGCTTGCTTTGCAGAAAATGTTTGAGGAACTGAATGTCATTTCTGGAATCCTACAGAAATTCATTATTCAAAACCACTGCAAACAGTCAGTCCTGCATGCTCTGCTACTGCAAGTAATCCTTCCTGAAATCAATGTGAAGTCTCAGAAATATTTAGGTGTACAGACTGTGAAGTTTTGCTGATGATTATTCATAATATTATATATGTATATATTATGTTCCAGATGTAACACTGTATTATGAGAGCATAACTTGGAAAACAGACATAACCATATTTCAACCATTAACGATATATCTTGTAATTAACCTGCCACTTTGATAGCATATTTCATGTAGTGAAATCATCAATGGCTATCTCATAAATTAGTATAATATTGGTACACCAAAAACTTAGGTGTTCACATTTATGCTTCTGGAAATGCTAAAGCTAAGTAATTATTATTCCTCATTTTACATAAACTTGAATGAGCTTAAAAAGTATGTTTAAACATACACATCAAAGACCTTTAAATATATATAAATTCTACCTGTTCTTGTTCCTTCATGGCAACTTTACATTTCTTTACTTCAGATGAATGGCATTTCAGTCATATTTACACACTGCTTCTGGTCCTTACTCCTCTACTCCTGAGGGAAGTTTGTTCCAGGCGAGAAGGCAAGTTACTTAGTTCAAGACTATTATTTTGCAATTCATTAAAATTAATATAATGTATTTAGTACAGATGCATTGTTATACACAAACTTAACATTAAATCAAGGAAAGTCTTCTGATTTCCACTGTTCATTATGGTCAACATTTCCTAACCTTGCCACTTAAACATTCATGTTCAATTCATGTTCAGACCAATCTGCTTGGCCATTTGAATCTTTTCTTTCCTGAAAGTTGCACAGGTCATGCATTAGCATATACATCAGCCATTAAAAAAGAGAAAGAAATCATGTTGCCATGGACTAGATTAAATAATGTCGTGGTTTGTTTCTGTCCTCAGGTTCTCCATCATTGCAGTAGCCATAGTACAAACAGTGAAAAAAAAAAGACCATAAAAAAGACTCTATTACATGGTTGCTGCAGACACTGGCAAAACTGGGTGACACAGCTGAACTCATCTAATGATTAACAGCTACCAGAAGAAAAATAAGATCCCTTGTCCCTTTTCCCACACTCCCTTGCTTGCATGATCACTGTTATTTGATGGTGACAATGGTAAGCCAGGGATTTAGACTGGAAGAGAAACATCCCGTTTTTTGTAGAATTATTCCTCTACCAGTTTAGCTTCTACAACTGGGTGCAGAGACTAGTGAGAAGCAGTTAGAGCCATAGGGAAGTGGCAGGAGCAGGCAGTCACAGATGCGTGATTACCTCCTTCTGCAGAAACCAGTTCCTCTATCGGCTTACAAGCACTGCAGTTCTGTACTCGTACAAGGAATAAATGTATCTTATTTTATTCCAATGCAAGTAATTCCTCTGAGGTCAAAGAGACTACGGAAAGTGTGCAAAGCTTTGTTTGCCTGTATCTGTGTGTTTTTTAAAGCTCTTCACAAAAAAACAAAGCTTTAGTTGAAACAAGAAGTAACAGATCAGCAATAACGAGAGGAATGGAAATTACTTTTAGCCATGAGTTTCAAACCAAATCACATCTAATGTTATACAAACTTCAGCCTTTTTGTCATTTTAGGTATACTTAGGAAGATGTCCTATATGAAATACTATGGTGACTTAGTCTTTCAAAGTAGGCTCTTAAGTAGTCTTTATTCATGTAAACAATATCCACATGAGTAATTGCATTAAGGACAATAATGGAACTAGTTTTTTAATAACCATCTGCAAGACAAAACAAACAATATTTCAGCAGATTATAAACCTGCTTCATCTATTTCCCTGAGTGATCAGTTACTGTTCTACACCATAGTATTCAAAGAAGTGTGTGAGAGGGGGTTACTCATACCAGAAAAAGAAATAAGATTAGTGGTTGTAATGTATCATTTCCCAGATTAGGCTCTAAATCACTATCTTACTCTTAAATTACCAGAAAAAAGTGGGTTTTCTTGTTCACATAGTCTATTTGCTTTTTTCATACTGATTGACATGAAAACAAATATAGGTTATCTTTCTGCTACACTTCAGCAATTTCAGTATGCCATATCAGTCTCAGTGTGTCACTGTAGATAGGAAGCATGCAAATAAACTTGCAAAATCTCACACACACAAAAATGCAGAAACACACAGTATTGCTAGATTATTTTCAATAGTTTAATAAGTGTTAGTAACGGAATTTCCATCTAAGCTTTTTTT